AACTATAGGGTGTCCAAAATTCAGCTCCATTGGAGAAGAGCAGAGGTTGCAGAAATTTGATAGATGAAAGGAGGCGGAAGAGGGAGATAGAGAAAAAGTCTCTTGGGTTGGATTTCTATTTTGGGGCAGATTCCAATTTTTGTAGCACCTTCATTATTGATGAATTGCTTGTACTTTTGTCCATTATGAAACTTGGGACTTTGGCTTGTTGTTGGATCTATTATAATATGTTTGGGAACATATATAAGTGAATAAATAAGAAGGAAAATTTTGGGCCCTTGTGGGTGTAAAACAAAAAATGTTTATGTTTACCCAAGTGTTTTTGTACAAGTTCAAGGGCATCTTGGGTTTTGTGAACAAAATTTGTTTATTTGGAGCAAGGTTTTGTGTTGAAGCTTTGTAGGTGAAGCTTTGGTGTTGAAGCTTTCTAGGTGAAGCTTTGATGGTGAAGCTTTGTAGATGAAGCTTTGTAGATGAAGCTTTCTAGGTGAAGCTTTGATGGTGAAGCTTTGTAGATGAAGCTTTGTAGATAAAGCTTTCTAGGTGAAGCTTTGATGGTGAAGCTTTGTAGATGAAGCTTTCTAGGTGAAGCTTTGATGGTGAAGCTTTGATGGTGAAAGTATGTAGAGGGAGCTTTCTAGGTGAAGATTTTTTAGGTGAAGCTTTGTAGGTGAAGCTTTTTTAAGTGAAGCTTTTCGGGTGAAGTTTTTTTTTTTGGGTGAAGCTTTGTGGGTGAAGCTTTTTAGGTGAAGCTTTTGTGGTGAAGCTTTTAGAGGTGAAGCTTTTCGGGTGAAGCTTGTTGGGTGAAGCTTTTTAGGTGAAGCTTTGTGGGTGAAGCTTTTTAGGTGAAGCTTTGTGGGTGAAGCTTTGGAGGTGAAGCTTTTCGGGTGAAGCTTTTTGGGTGAAGCTTTTTAGGTGAAGCTTTTTGGATGAAGCTGTTTTTTTTTTTTTTTTTTTTTTTTTTTTTTTTTTTTTTGGCGCTTGACACGGTCTTCATTTGCTTGTTTTGTAGTGACTGTGGAAGACGGATTGCTTTTCTGATTGAGAAGGGTTCTGGCATCGCTTGCTATGAATGTAAAAGAGTGAGAGGGCTGAGTTGGCTAAATTACCTCTTTATTGAATTCATTGCCAAATGGCCTTCATTACATAGGATGCCGAACGGCTATAGCTCAACACTTGTACATCGTGAGTCTATTTGTAGTAGTACTTCAAGTGATCAGCGTTCCATGGATGGCCAAGGGTCTTGCCATCAGAGCTTCTAAGTGTGTAAGAGCCAGGGCGACTGATGCCAATGACTTCATACGGTCCATCCCAGTTTGGACTAAGTGTGCCTTCACTCGGGACTCTGTCGCGCAGAGTAATCTTTTCTTTAAGACCCAGTCTCCTATTTTGAAAGAACGAGGCTTGACCCTAGAGTCATAATAGTTGGAGATGCGCTGCTTGTAGGCGACATTCCTCAAGTGAGCTTGGTTTCTGTGTTCCTCGACTAAATCCAAGTTGAGGGTGAGTTGTTTGTCATTTTCACTTTGAATGTAGTTCTGGATTCGGAATGTTGCTTGCTCGAGCTCAACAGGGACAACCGCCTCTGTGCCAAAGGCAAGTGAGAATGGAGTTTCTCCTGTTGAAGTCCGATATGAAGTGCGATATGACCAAAGAACTTGGGGTACAAATTCTGGCCAACAGCCTTTAGCTTTGTCCAAGCTGGTTTTCAAAGTGCGCTTGATTATTTTGTTGATGGCCTCAACTTGTCCATTAGACTGGGGATGAGCTGGAGAGGCAAAGCATAAGTTGATGTTGAACTTAGAGCAGAACAACCTGAACTTCTTGTTGTCAAACTGTCGCCCATTGTCAGTGACTATCCCATTGGGAATGCCGAATCTACAAATGATGTTCTTCCACACGAAGTCTTCTATCCTCAGTAATGGTTGCCAAGGGTTCTACTTCGGCCCACTTTGTGAAGTAGTCCACTGCAACGACTGCGTAACAGACTTTGCCCTTCCCTGCCGGCATTGGGCCGATCAAATCAAGTCCCCACTGGGCGAAGGGCCAAGGGCTGATCATAGGAGTAAGAGGCTCTTGAGGGGAATGAGGAATAGTTGCATATCGTTGACATTTGTCACATGAGCGGGATACTTTGATGGCATCCTGGTGGAGTGTTGGCCAGTAATATCCTTGGCGAAAAGTCTTGTGTGCTAGGGACCGAGATCCAGCATGATCTCCACAGACTCCCTCATGTATTTCCCGAAGGACGATTTCCGCCTCGGCAGGCGTAAGACACCTTAAGTATGGCAGGCTAAAACCTCGCTATTGTGGCGATACCCTTGACGCGGGTTTGACCCACTGCATTGACTGCCTGGGGACGAGCGCTATTGTGGCGATACCCTTGGTTATCGGGATAGTGTCCCTTACTCTTTTTACTGAAAGGAGAGTGGTGAGGATGGAAATCCTTCCTCTTGCCTTGAAATTGATATGTCTGTTGATTCGGTGAAGCATTATGCAAGGCATGGGGAGGTGCCACTGCTGTTTGGAAAGTCGAGGTCTTCTCATTTAGGTGAGTCTGGCTTCCACCTCCCACTTCTTGATAAAGGATGGTTGTAGGGGGTTTCTCCTGATATGTCTTTGCCTCGGCGGAGGCATGGTTATAAGCCTGCGCCATCACCTCAGAGTAAGTCTTCCAAGTATTGGCATTGATCATGTATTTAAAGAAACAATCACGTAGGCCTGCCGTGAAGGCTTTGAGGGCAGTCTTGTCGTCTGCCTCGGCACACCGGGAGTATTCATGGCTGAAGCGGCCAACATACATACGTAATGACTCGTCTGGCTTCTGGCGGATAGTGTACAAGTCATCTGCAGAGTGCAAGCGATCGGTTTGGAAAATGTGTTGGGAAACAAATAGTTTCCTCAATTCCTCAAATGAGTCTACCGTCTCAGGTGTAAGACGACAATACCAATTTAGAGCTCCACTAGAGAGGGTGGAGGGGAAGAGAAGACATCGCTATTCGTCGGTGTGCATCCGGTATGCCATGGTGGACTCAAAGAGGTTAAGGTGCTCAATCGGGTCCTCTTTTCCAGTATAAAGTTGCAAGCCAAGCTTTTGCTTTGTCTTTTATTGAAGGGGGGTGTTGAGGATCCTCCTTGTAAGAGGGCCAGGCCTGGGTTGGTTCCAGTCAGGTATTTCAGCCTGACGTTCAGCCTTCAACTTGTTTACTTCCTCAAGAAGTTGTAGGACAAGGGGGTCCTGAGCGGAGTTATGTGCCACTGGAGCTTTCCTTCGTAAATCTCCATCTCCTCTTGGAATTAGGAAGGTTTGATCAAGGGCATGTGATTTTTCCCTGGACTCGCTGTACTGGCTTCCAGGGTATGTCTGTCGGAACACCTCTGAGTCCCCTGTACCCTCATGTCTCTCTAGGACTTGTTGCCCCTTCCCCAAATTGGTGGCCGGCTCGGGCCGTGGCAGGGGACCGAGTCTCTCAGAAATCCTTGGGTCATTGATCTTTGAGCTTATATGGATGGAATTCTCTCGACGTTGCTTCAAGAAATCCCGACAATCGCGAAAGACGGCTTTCGATCCTTCTGCCCCTTCAGCAAAGAGGTGTCTCCCTCCACTTCTCATGGTTCGGGTCGAAGCAACTGGGTTAAGAGAAGCCTCATGTTGATTATCAAGTCGAGGGGTAATCTGTTCCCTATCAGGGATATCTATGTCGAATGCATGTGACCCTCCATGTTGGAGGGCACCCAGTTGATGGTTGACTTCCACGGGGGCAACAAGCTCGCGTGTCTGAGCTTGCCTAGCTTCGTGGAGTGTCTCGAAGAGCTTCTCATATTGCTCCTGGAGGACCTCATTCCTCATTGCTATCTTGTTGTTCTGAGCTTCCAACTCATCGACTTTAGCTTGAAGAAGAACTCGTTTTCCTTCCTTCTTTCGTTGTTTCGCACTATGTGCAAGGGGGGTGTCATTCTGTGTGCTGTGGCTTCCTTCGCTTCCCATGCTGGAGAGGGATGCCTGATCAAAAGAAAGTGTACGAATGATAGAAACCAGCTTGACACAGCTGAAGAGAGTAGGAATAAGTGTCGTTTCCCACAGACGGCGCCAAATGTTGATGCACAAAATCAGCGAAGACTTTGGTACAACAGAAAGTCTCAGGTTTTGTGACCTTCGCTTGGTTGCTTGGTTGCTTCAGTCACTAGTGAGGATAAGTACGTAAATGAATAGAGACAGAGAAGCAAACACAGGATGTACGTGGTTCACCCAGATTGGCTACGTCCACGGAGTAGAGGAGTTCTTATTAGTAGTGAAGGGCTTACACAAGTACAAAGGATCAAGCTCTCAATTTAGTGAGTTCTTGTGAATGATTTAACACAAAATGGCATTAGGCCATATTGTGGGGGAATGACCCCTATTTATAGAAAAACTTGTAGCTTTGTCACATTGACATGTGTCATGTTATGATTGGTTCTTGATGTTGACACGTGTTGCGCTCTGATTGGCTTCTAATCTTGACACGTGTCGAGTAGTGATTGGCCTCCTGGTCGGAGGGGAACTCTTCTGGGTCCTTGACAGTATAGCGTTGGCCGGTGCTCGGTAGTTTCGGGATTGGTCAAGTATGGTACAAACAATACTCATATTTTTGTAGTGATTTGTACGGATGACACATGTTCAAACTTTCAAAGTTCAGAACATTTACTCCATTACTCAAAGTCTTCTACTATTGCCTCTATCAAAAAGACTTCAAAAGCCTAAACGGCAAGAAGCTTTTTAGTGTGTCAAGAATACGGTTGGTACACAAGGTATTAAAGTATAAGTAGTTAGATACTTAAAAAAAAATTCAATTACTTGTGTTATAACACTTAACGTACCGACCATTGTTTCCCGTAAACAACAGAGCAAATAAAAACACGTCGTTTTTGTTTTGTCACCTCAAACGACATCTTGACGAGTACAAAAACACTGCCAAAAAAAGGTTCAAAAGCGCCAAAAGTAGTTGGATGCTTCTGTGGCCGATATAAGCCGTAAATATAAGTTAATATCCCTCTGCTTGTTATCTCTTATTCGGCTTTGGGGACCAAACAAAACCATGGTTTGCTCTTCACCTTCAGCTCTCTCCCACTCTTCCTTTACTATTTCAAGCACCAATTTAAATGTCTGGGAAAAACCTGGTAACCTGCATAGCAGAGTCCAAGTAAAGAGCTGTAAAAGACCTACCACAGTCGTAGTTTGTTCTGGTTCTTCTTCTCCGGCTCCGACGTCTCGCCGCCGCGTTCTTCTCCAAAGCTCCGTTTCTTTGGCTGCTTCAGCTGCCATTCTCCTCTGCTCAAATCCAGGTATGTAGTTCAAAGGACCCAAAGATGATTTCTTCTTTATTTGTTCCCCTTGAGATATCGGTAACACATAACAAATGCGAAAAGGCTTAATTGTAACAATTGTCCTCAACTTGAAACCCTAGTTGCATTTTCGTCCCTGGATTTTAAAAAGGAAATTATTTGGCCTCTTGGAGTTACGTGTTTGTAGACAAATTAGAATTTGACATGTTCGTAGCAACTTTTCCTTTTGTAGTTTTAACGAAATGTTTTGCATGTCTCGAATTTTGATTGACATTAATGAATGAACGACATCTTACATGTAAGTAACCAAACAGTAGGTATGGCCGTTCGGTCAACCATGCAACTTGCCCTTAAATTGGAGGATGGCTAAACCATTGTTTTAGAACTAAGGGAACAGAATGCAGATCATGGTATTGTTTATAAATAATTGCTATAATTGAGTAAGGTATTAGTCCTCTGGCATAGTTTTCAAATTAGGGAAGCTGAGAAGATCGAAAAATTAAATTTATGTACCCTGTTTGCAGCTGAAGCAGGATTTCTATCAGGATCGACCGGAATAGAATCAGTTCCGGGTCCTGAGTTGCCTCAAATCGACTTCCTCAAACGCTTCAATGGTTCAACTTTCACCCTCTCCCGGTCCACTGAGAATTACATTCATCAAGCTTACTCAAATATGTGACCAAATGTTGTTGCAGAAGAAAATCAGAAGAAGTATGCAGAAAATGATGCAAGATTCAGATCAACTCAAATACTCAAGGAGCTACTAGAAAAGTCCAAGCTCAACAAAGAAAAGTAAGTCAGTTCTTGCATAATTCAACCGCCAAAGTTCTAGGCTTGTGCTACTGCTATATATAAACAGTAAATATACAGTAGCACGAGCCTGGAAGCTTCAAAGGAGCGACCGAGGTTTTGATATCATTTACGTCAAACAATCGTGTTGTTAAGGAATGAGCAACAATTCCAACGTTGAAACATAATACAGATGAATCGCGTATGTTACTTTGTAAAGTGTTATGTGAATCGAAATTGAAAATGTGCAGGAATAGTAAGGAAATTCAAGACAAGTACTGCATACGCGGGGCGGAGTGGGGAGTAGGAGATTGCTCAGCGGAGGGAATGACACCTAACGAGAAAGACAAGTTCATCGCAATGTTGAAGGAGAAGGCTGGCGTCAAGGATTGATTTTTACTAACTCGTGCAAGCTCTCTGCTTTCTGTAAACCCTAATTTCCAAGTAACTCGTAGGATCTTCTCGTTTGAAGAGATGGATAAATTTGTAATAAGAGTAAACGACCACGACTACTACGAGCATACAACGATTCAATTCATGCGCAGTATGGAAGATACGACCACGACTATTACGAGCGTACAACTATGATATTTATGCACGTAAGAGACTAGTATGTAAGAGGATTATGTAGGTGTTTGCATGATTTAGGACATACCCTCAAATTACAAAGACTAGCATTTCTGCACGCGCTTAAGTGCATGCAGAAGACATTTTTTGAATCACGGCGTGCTACGCGCGATTTATACATTTTAAATGTATTTATATGCGTAAATTGACAAAAGGAAAGTCAAATATTTGAAGTTAATAAATAATTTGATATCATGCTAGAAGAAACCCCTTATGAACCAATTAAGGTAGTTGAATTCACATAATAAAATCTGTCCATGTAGAATTTACATTAAAAATAGAGAAAATAATATTTAATAAACAATTGATTGAATCGCATTATTGTTATCCCATTATGAGGCTAAGCCCACCTCATTCCCTTTAGTGTAGATAATATCGTTTGTTAAAAAAAAAACATTTGACAATTAATTTAATCACATTATTATCTGCGTGCAAAAGACTTTTTTTATAACCGGCATTACATGCCTCTTAAGATGTTTTGAACACGTTTAAAATAGAGAAAATAATATTTAATAAACAACTTAAATCATATTATTGCTAGCCCATTGTGAGGCTAAGTCCACCCCCTCCCCCTTAGTCTTATTTGATGCATTATTTTGGGATGCCTTTGAAGTTTTTTGTCTTGGGAGCATTTTTGTTCAAATATTTTTGTTGAAACTTGGTGACATCAAAATCACTATTTACCTTTTGTGTTGGCTTTATATATAGATGTAGGACAAAGGAAAATAATGAACTTTAAAAAGTAGGTAAAGGCTTTTACAATCTTAAATTACAAAGTTCCAAACATTTGAATTTATGATTTCATTTCATAGTGATAGTCATGCGGATTTTTCTACTTTTGCTTCATAATCGTATGAAGAAATTTTGAGAAAAAGGGTAATTTATGTTATTGAAAACGCGTTCATGTGACTATTATTTTCTCAAAACATTAAAATGCATGGTCTCACAATGAATTATAGGAAAAATGTGATTTTTGAGAAAAATTTCAATGAATTTAAAATGCGTTATATTATTATTTACTCAATTCATAATATGTGGATCTCTAATATCTCTACTAATTAATAAAACACTTATTGTCAACCAAAATTTTATGAAATTACCAGTTTAACTCTCTAATTAAAAGAGAATATGAATAAGAAATATGAGGCAGAAATGTAATTTCACACAACCAAATTTTGTTTTTTTTTTCCAAAACCTCACTTACATGTAATCATAACTTATCTCTAATTTAAAAAAAAAGTAAATAAATAAATAAAATTGTACACTCCCACATTTTCTATCACTCTCTTCATCTCTTCTTCTATTTCAAAAAAAAAATAAAAAAATTTCTCACCATATTCACTTTTACAACCGAAACTCAATAACGCTCTTATTCACTTTTATAACAATATTAAAATGATATACAACGCAATTTATGTTTTCGGCAAACATAGATCTCCTAGGTAATCAAAGGCAAAAGATAAGAAAACCAAATTAAAAAAATTATAAGTCCAGTAAAAAAAATATATAAAAAACTAATAATTTAGTTTTACATTATTCGTGTGTATATCCTAATCTTGGCCAAAATCCCATGGGGATTGCAAGCTCAGCAACCCAGCAATCATAGCTGTCTCTCTCTCTCTCTCTCTCTCTCTCTGTCACACAGGTAAACGGGATTTCTAAGAAATTTGGCTGTTTGGTGTTTTGAAAGTTTGCTCTATCAGAATTTGAATTGGAATTGGGGCTTCTCAGCAAAAAGAGGGGATGAAGAAGAAAAGGTGATTTTTCGGTTGAAATTACGCGCGGAATTGTAACTGGTAAAATTAGGTAAAGGGTTTATTTGGTTGTGTAAAACTTCAAATTTGTTTTTAGCTAACTTGTGTAACTTTGTTGAAAATCATGATCTTATTTGTATATAAATGTGATAAATTTGATTGTTAAATAGCTTGTTTCTTTCGGTTTCAGGGAAATTCTGCGTGATTAGTTTGGTTAGCATTGTAGAATTCATGTGGGGGTTGAAAGCTTGAATTTTGAAATTTCTGGTGTATACTAGTGATTTTCGCTGCGGGATTGTGACTGCAATTCGGAGTCACAAAAATGTACCGGACCGTGGCTACAGCCACAACTGCAACCAGGGGCGGATCTCCAACTGATAGTGGGGATTGTGTTGTCACTTTGGATCAAGTTCCACGGTGGAGCAATTCAGAGCATCGTTCTTCCTTGGAATATGACAATGAAGATCCTTCGTTTTCAAATTCGTTTTTTCCTGATCCTTTAACTTCCCAATCTGGGGGAGAGAGCAGTAGCAATGGGATAGTCTCAAGATTTCCAGTTGACCATGAAATTAATTCAAAGATATATCTATGGAGAGGGAACCCATGGAATCTCGAAGTTGATGCGGTAGTGAATTCTACAAATGAGGTGAGTACTAGGTTATGATGATGAATCTTTGAAAGAGATTTCGTGATATATAAACCTGGTGACATTGGTTAAAGAAACAAGTGTCTAATAGATTGTACCAGTCTGACATGCTTTTCGATTGGACGATTTACAGAACATGGATGAAGCGCATTGTAGTCCTGGTCTGCATGCTGCGGCTGGACCTGGTCTTGCGGAAGAATGTGCATCACTGGTATGCACTCTTGTCTTCAAACATTCTTCGTCGGTTCTTGAAACTTGAAATCCAATGTAAATACAGATTTATGGGTAAATTGAAGATGTTGAATGGGATACGACATGGAATTTTCAATGTCGTTGGCTTTTTAAAGCTTCCTGTGGTGTTCTGTCAGAATTAGTTTTTATTAAGAGTCAACTGATTTGATATACCTTTGTTTGTTGGCAGGGTGGATGTAGAACAGGGATGGCAAAGGTTACTAAAGCGTATGACCTTCCAGCTAGGTGGGTATAGCAGTAAAGTTTTCATTTAGAGAGTTCATAGTGCACAAGTACTATTTCATGTATGTATTTTGACTAAATGAATGATGTTTCTTTCCTTGTACACTTTTCCAGGAGGGTTATCCATACCGTCGGTCCCAAGTATGCAGTGAAATACCATACTGCTGCAGAAAATGCTCTGAGCCATTGTTATCGTTCTTGCCTTGAACTTCTCATTGAAAATGGGCTGCAAAGGTGCTTGGCAGATGATTTGTGCTATCGATTGTTCTTCCCTTTTGTTTTGTTCTTTGTAAAGTGTGAAGTTTATTTTGTTTGGCCAATGTATTGTAGCATTGCAATGGGCTGTATATATACAGAAGCTAAGAACTACCCTCGTGAGCCAGCTGCCCATGTTGCTATAAGTGAGTTACTTTCTTACATGTTTCAGAAGTTAGTTTCTTGCAATGATGTATTATGTGAAGCACGTGAAGTACATTGAGCATATCTGTGCATCCATGGGAAATAGAAAGGCCTGATACTAGCTTTTGTTAGATTATATACAAAAAAATCATAACATTAATATCGCATGGTAAGGAAAGGATAACAATCAACCAATATTCAAAATAAAAGTTCAGAGTAAAAGGATAACAATGTGAGGATGGCTCCTGTTATCTCTTGCAGATGTAGTCTCTTATGATGAGTTAGATTATGGTACAATCTTTAAAATATATGCATGTCTTTTGCATTCTATGATACATATAACTTGCTTATCTATTAGTATGAGTGCCAGATTACTCAAATTTTAGTCATGTATATACATCAACGTTTTAGTTGCTGCTGGATAAAATTCACTGAATATTCGATTATTTCTCTCATTCTTTACTCTCCAACTTATCTATCTTCTGTTTTTTTTCAGGGACTGTACGACGTTTTCTGGAAAAGCAGAAAGATAAAATCGCAGCTGTTGTTTTTTGTACTACCACATCAATGGATACAGAGATATACAAAAGGTTAATAAACATAGTTATTTATTTATGGAGCACAAGCTGCTTCACCATGATATATGTGACTTATAAACTCCATTCTTGGTTTTACTGTTACAAAATATTGAGAAATCATTCCCCTTCACTTTTTTTTCCCAACCTAGATTGCTTCCGCTTTACTTTCCCCGAGATAAACTTGAAGAGGAGATTGCCTTGTCGAAGCTTCCTGCAGATGTAGGTGATGAAAATGGCGAGACAATTATAGATGAGCGCAAAATCAGAATAAAGCCTTTGCCCAAGAAGAATATTCCAAAGCCTCCCCAGGCTCCAGTTGAGCTTCCTGTGAGTGATGTTGGCTTGGTACAAAGGTCAGTCAATGACTCATTTAGAATTTTTTAGCATATCATGAAAAACTTAGGGCAGCTTTGACTAATCAAGAGAAATGCCTAGAAAATTCTTGCCGGAGAAAGCTGCTGAAGAATTCCATGTTTCATAAGTCAATTTTCATATTTCATAGATGTCTATGCACTTAAATTCTCTCTTATTGTGGTTATCAAGCTTATTGTTCCTTTTGCTATACCATTATCATTAGCTCTTTTGGTTAAAATTCTTAACTAACTTGCTGAATTTGTTATATAGGAACTCACCATATTTGGATTCATATTTGGATCCTGCCTTCATGTCCTTAATAAAAGATCCAGATCAGAGACGCAAGGAACAATGGGAGAAAACTGCTCAAGCACAAAGTGGATGGAATTGTGCTAAAATTCTTGGGTTTGGCGACCTTGGTGGACCTCCATTGTCTGCTGCAGAAGAATACTCGCTTCATTCAAGATACCTTGCTAAAGCAAATTCTCTTAATCTTTCAGAACTTGCAGAAATGAAAATTGTGTAGGATTTATAACTCTTTCATCATTAACTTAGTGGCAGTTGTGGAGTCTTAAGCTTGTAGATTTTCACAGTTGGACAGTTGCTAATATGTAAAGTGCTTTTCATTCTAATTTACTCTTTGCTATTGGTAGCAGTGGCACTTCCGTTAGCTCATATCTTGTACACAGAAAAAAAGGAAAACAATGCAAATGTTGATATGTTGCTACCTAATGGTGGCTGAACCTAAAATATTATGAAATCCAAAAATGGTTGCATCTAAATGGTTGTATGAGATGTATTCATTTAAACTAATGTCTATTTTTCTGTCTATTTCAGTTACCGAGGTGGGGTTGACAGCGAGGGTCGTCCTGTAATGGTGGTTGTGGGGGCACATTTTCTTTTGCGATGTCTTGATCTAGAACGATTTGTACACTATGTTATTAAGGTAGTACAGCATTAAATTTGGGGTTAATCTGCATTTGTTGTAGAGTTATTGTATATTTGGTAGTTATGTTGTTGGCGATTAGTATATCTAATCTTGTTTATTGGTTTGCAGGAGTTTGAACCCTTAATACAAAAGCCTTATACTATTGTATACTTCCACTCAGCAGCATCTTTACAGCTGTAAGTTGTTCGTAGTTGAGTTTCAGAAAATGCAAAACTTCAAACAATTCTAGGGTCATAAGGTTTTTCACGTCATTCTATACTCACACTCCAGGTGACAGTTCAGTTTCTGTGAAAGATGAAAAAAGAATTTTCAAACACTCACAATGACTGCCGAAATAACGTAGATTGAAGTAACTTCTTCGGTGGAATTTTAATTTCTGATTATGAACACAAGTGATGATCAGTAAACTAATAGCGTATATTGATAGCAAGTCTCTGCAACTGGTTGAGTATCCTTTCGTGCATGTTTTGCAGCCAGCCAGACTTGGGGTGGATGAAAAGGGTACAACAGATACTTGGTCGTAAACACCAACGTAATCTGCATGTAGGTATCACTGCGTTTGTCCATATACATTAGGAACTATGTCCGTTATCATGTCTCTAATCTTTATCTCTCTCTAATCTTTATCTTTTTTACATAGGCAATATACGTCCTTCACCCGACATTTGGGCTGAAGGCTGCAATATTTGCCCTGCAACTGTTCGTGGACAATGTGGTATGTCTAAGTTTGTTTGCGATTTCTTGTTATCAAGACTTCCATCACTTAAAAAGTATGCTGTAAGTGAATGTTATTCTAACGTATGCTCCTAGGTCTGGAAGAAAGTGGTATATGTAGATAGATTACTGCAGCTCTTTCGATATGTTCCTCGTGAGCAGTTGACCATCCCCGACTTTGTGTTCCAGTTGAGTTTCTTTGTTCCTTTTCTCCATCCTAGCATGCAATGATTACATTGGAAGGTAAACAGACGTTTGATTCTAATGATTTTTGGGTCTGTGATCAATGCAGGCACGATTTGGAAGTGAACGGTGGGAAGGGTCTTATCGTGGACCCGAGAACCAAGTATGTGTATCATCGACCGTAGCATTGCGAATACAGGGTTCCATGAGGCAATGAAGGAGGTCCATGGCTTGTGATTTCTTGATTCTATTTTATTTTTATTGCATCTTATAGGTAGATGGGAGTTGAATTTGCCGGTTTCCTGTGAAGAAAAAGATATCCTCTGTTTTTTTGGGAAAGTTGTTTATGAAGCAAATGTTGTTTGAAACTAAAGATGGAAATTGATAATAAATATTCTTTTATTGTATTGTCTTGGATGAATTATCAATAAAATGTAAAGTTGGTTTGAGATTTCTGAAAGAAGGGTTCTTGACAAGTTAAAATCATACAATAAAGTACATCTCCGACCATGTGGTCTGGAAATTCCCAAGTCCGTTTTGGCTAGTAGGCATGGCTATTTCTTGCACAATTACTAATACGAAAAGACACGAAAAAAACAATTTTTTTTTTAAATGAGACTGGTCATTTGTTAAAAATTCAACAAAATATTGTTTGTCAAAACTAGATACTAGACATGGCAATTTTTTCATGACTTGTCACCCAACACAAAATGATACAACATGACCCGTTAATAAATTAGGCCGTTATCTGGTCATTAAAAACTTATTAGCATAACGAATTTGACATGACATGACTAGTTAAGAATAACCATGGTCGAATTTGGTTACAACATGACATTGGTTGGGTAAATAAATAAGGTAGTAATGGGAAAGAAAAAACAAAGAGAAATGATTAGAACACATTATTTTTCTCTTCTTGTTTGATCATGTTTGTTATTTTTATTTAATTTAATTAATCGGATAACCAAAGATGAATGTTATGTGTGAAAATTAGTTTTCACCAAATAATGTTAAAGCTGCTCAATTATTTCATGATCATTTTTCACAAAGAATTTCAAGATTTACGTGATTCAGCAAAAAATATATTTTTCTGTAGATTTACACACTAGTTTTTTCTTTATGCATTTTTTGTTTTTGTCTATTGATTATCTTTTAGCATTTTAGTTCAAATGGGCCCTATATTGGTATAACTCCTCATTTTGATCCCTAAGATTTGATTTGAAATTGATAAAAATGATCCCTAAGTTTGTCCACTGTCAATCATTTTGGTCATTTTAGTGAAAAAAAAAACTATTAAATAAGCAAAATGACAAAAATACCCTCAATTTAATAAACAATGGGCGAAAATGATTTGACAAAAAGTCAGGGTATTTTTGTCATTTCATTCTTATTTAACGGAGAGTTATCACGAAATGACTAAAATGATAGACGGTGGACGATTTCAGAGACCAATTCTATCGCTTTCAAATTTCAAAAGCCAATCACATGAACTATTTTGGCTAAAAAAATGTTCTCTTTTTATTGAATCCAAAAGGTTAAAATTACCGAAAAAAAAAGTTGGAAATAAGGAGTTGGTTAATCTAAACTACATATTAATAGAACCACCAAAAGCTCATGAAATTATCATTCTAACCCTCTAATTAAAACTGAACATAGATAAGAAATGTGGGTAGTAATGTAATTTCACACCACCAAAATGTTGCTATTTTTTTTAAAGCCTCACCTACCTATGATTCTAACATGCCTCTAATAAAATAAATAAATAAATAAATAAGGCTCTCTCCTCTCTCTCCTCATCCCACGTTCTTTTTCACTATCTTCCTCTCTCCTTCCATTTTAAAACAAAAAAAATGCAAAATTAAAAAGTTGCACGGTAATATAAAAACTAGTTTAATTTAAGAAGAGAATTATTATTAGCATTCCAAAAATCTCATTCTACACAGTATTTTTATTTCTAATTATAGAAAGTTTGAGGTGTCAAATGAAATTTTTGGAATACTAATAAAAATCAATTTTAAGAAAAGTATATAGATATTTCTCCGTCTGCTGTCCAAGTCTATTGGTTACACTTGTCAGATTACTTTCCAGAGAAACACAGTCAATATCCTAATCCACGGCGCACCCGATAAATCCCAGTGCAACTCAGCTTGAAACCGTTCCGGTTCCACACACTATTTTCTACATTTTCTGCAAATTAATTCTCATAAAAATCTTGAAGACGAAGGCGAACCCAAAAACCAGGCCGCCGGAGTTTGCTTCTTCTCTGCTTTCTCCGGCCACTCTCCGGTGAGCAAATAAATACTCAGGCTAATCTATTTTGTTTGATTATTGGAATAGGATTGCTCCGCTAAAATTTAGAACACAATTAATGATTATTTAATGGGATAATTTAGAAAGATGGGATTTTGATTCGAGTTTTCAACTGGGTTTATGTGAATTTCCACTGGGTTTATGTGATTATTTTACTTTTCCATTTTTTCACACCTGGAAGTTGATATCTTGCACTTGTTTTTGTACATATCAGGAATGTTTGCTTGAATGATTTTTGTTGAAGTGGGGTTTCCGGGACCCGGGACCCGGTTCGAATTTAGTGTTTTTGTTTTGGTTGCATGTTTCAAAAATGGATATCTGCATGAATTGAAATGTAATGTGGACTTACTGTATATGTATAGATGCTGATATTTCTATACACAAGTGTGGAAGAACAACTGAGGAAGCGTAGTATCCTGTGAAGGGTATCGAGTTTGATCAGTAGAACAAAATGGAGCAAGGTCTGTCACTGAGTGCTCTGACTGCGTCTTGCAATGGTGGGGTATGTGGATCAATGCCTTCGTGGAGGAGGCATTTCAAACTAATGAGCAAAACCCGGATAAGTACTGGTGTCGAAAGGTGTGGTATCTGGCATCTGTGCCGTCAAAGCTTATTCTTAAGAGGTAACACCGATGTGGTAAGACAAAGGAGTATGAGGGTGGAAGCTGGTTGGCTGTTTAAAGGGGGTGATCAGGGGTTGAATGCAAGCTCGGAGCAGAGCGAGAGTGCTAATGAAGATATTTTGATATTCTTTTTTCAGCTGGACCTGGCAACACGAGTACAGGTTCGATGGTTCTTCTCTTATAGCTTTCATTTCGTATTAGGTTTAACTAGTGTGGATTTCTCTCAATTTTGTTAGTCTAACAAGCATTTGATTCTTGGGATGCATTGGCAGTATGCTTTGAACACGGAACAGTATGATGTTGCACAACAACTAAGAAACAAGCTGACTGAGGTTAGATCTCTCATCCCGATTATAAGTGATATGCTAACCAGGTGGGCAAGGCTTGCTTAGAATTTCATTTTTTTTCTTTTAATCTAACAAATTTTGAGCTTCAAATTACAAAAGGTAAAGAATATGAAGGAAGGCCGTTTAATCTTCTGTAGACTTTCTTAGGAATATCTTGAGAAACAGTAGCAATTGTTAATGCAGGTTTGGTGTTCCTAGCTTTTCTATGAACCCAATGACGAAACTTTGGATTACTTTTAAAGTTTAGTAACATTACAAAAACCAAAAAGTGCTGTAAACAGGATTTATGGTAGCCGCTTTTTTGGTCTTTGAAAAGGACTGTTGGGATGTAATCTTTTGGTGTGTCCCATATCAATATGTGTAAGCTTCCTGGTGAACGGAGAAAGAAATAGTTGCGGCTTTCCTAATAAGTGTTCTTCTTGGAAGGTTGAAGCTGAGGTTATTAAGCAGCAGGAGGCAAAAAGGGGTTCGTCCCCAAAGAGTGAAGCTCAAGATAAGGCGATAAGTATCATTCGCTTACGGTAATTCCCCAAAATTTTCCATATTCTATCTAATTAAGAGTTTAATTCAGTACAAATGGTGGAATTTATATGTTTCTTCTTTCTATTTCCTTTTGACCCTTCGAAGATTTTGGCATATGCGGTCAACTATTCATTAAAGTATACTGCTTCTTTGTCTTTCCTTACAGTGCAGACCTGCAGAAAGCAATTGAGAGTGAGAATTATGCAGTGGCAGCCAAGCTACGAGATACAATTTCTAAACTGGAGGCAGAGTCACTGGCTGCATCCGCCAAAGCTTTAGCACATGAAAATGCAAATTATTCATTTCGTTTGGGACAGAGAGTGAGGCATAAAAATTTTGGTATGTATTCCGTATTTTTTTGCTGAGATTTGTCTTCCAAATTATTTTTTATGTAAGCTGTGGTGTCCAGCAGTCTGAAAAAGTATGCTTCTCGATTGTGTTAGTCATGTTGGGTGCATATTTGGGTACTTGTATTTTATAAATCTGGAGCAATTTCAATGAAATTCACTACAAAAACCTTGAAGAATCTGTTTAACAAGTAGCAGCTTGAAAAAGTAAAACTGGATTTTATGTGTTTCATTGTTTCATTTTCTTTCGTGCTTTCTTCTGTTATACAAATCTTATGTTACTTTATCAGGCTATCGCGCCGTGGTTTGTGGGATGGATCCGGTGTGTTCTGAATCAAGTACATGGATGGAAACTGCACAGGTTGAAAAGTTGAGACGCGGTTCTAATCAGCCATTTTATCAGGTTTGAAACCTATTTTAAAGCCCTTCATGACTATGCACTCCACATATGCTTCTGATACGATCTATTAAAATGCATTGGAATATCAGTAATAACAACAGTAATGATATGGCACACGATGCATGGTTTGTTTCTGATTGATTGCTTTGATTCCATCCCTGTTTCTATCATACTACCGCTGTGCGGGTGAGCAAGCATTGCATGCAATGCAATATGATTTTGAATGATATCTACATCATCTTTCCTCAGATTTTGGTTGATGTACATGCGGACCCCAACCTTCTGGTGGCATATGGTAATACCCGAACTTTTTTACCCAATTCCTTCTCAGATTTAAGTCTTCTGCTCTCGCATTATCTATAAATCTGCATTTTAGGCACTTAATCCGCCTGTCTTTTTTGCAGTTTCTGAGGAGAATCTGTTAGCCCCTGAAGAACCCGACTTGGTAAGTAGAAGTCTCCCTCTTTTTGTTTCGTTTCATCACTGATGTTTTGTTTCCTCGTGTTGAGCTGTATTTGTCCTCAAGGAACATAAAAAGTTTCCCTATCAATCCAGTCTGTTTCGTTGTTCGTTAACCTTGTGCAGGATCAATTTGATCATCCCTACATTTCCTTTCTATTCTATGGGATGGATGCAGCTGGAGATTTCATCCCCATCAAGCAATTGCGAGAGAAGTACAATCGGCCACGACATGAAATCCCCTACGATCCTCAAGACGAGGGGGAAGGAAGAGATGCTTAGTGAAATCCCGGCAACAGACCCTTGTATTATAAGACGCTGATTCACGTACTGCCCATCAATATATTATTTTCTTCTTTATCTAAACAAGTCTCGTATCTGTTTGTCTGAAATTTTATTCTGCCTTATACGACGGCGGTTTGTCATAATTTTTATAGTGCTACTTTTAACATTTGAATTTAAACTGAGGAATCTGCACAATTAGAACGGGAACGGATACAAACTCTTTATCAAAAATAGTAGTTGGGGTACAAAATGCACAATAAGCTGTACATAAATCACAGTTAGTGCTCCTTTATTGCATTCAGGAGCACTATTTGGCCGGATTGGACCAATGTTAGAAACGAAATACGGGCTTGTTAAGCATGTCTAGCAAATCACACGGACGAAAGTGAATGGGAACGGATCCCCTCTTGAGCTTAGGAGGCTAAGCCTTCTGAGCAAATCACATAGATGGGCATGTTAAGCATATCTAGCAAATCAAGCGGACGAAAGTGAACGGGAACGGATCCCCTCCTGTGCTTAGGAGGCTAAGCCTTATGAGCAAATCACATAGATGGGCATGTTAAGCATAGCTAGCAAATCACGCGGACGAAAGTGAACAGGAACGGATCCCCTCCTGTGCTTAGGAGGCTAAGCCTTCTGAGCAAATCACATAGATGGACATGTTAAGCATATCTAGCAAATCACGCGGATGAAAGTGAACGGGAATGGATCCCCTCCTGTGCTTAGGGGGCTAAGCCTTCTGCGCAAATCACACAGGTTGTTGGATTTTGATTCTTTAATGATTACAAACAAAGCCTCTTTACGAGTTATAATAATTGTAACCATTTGATCAAAATTCAACGGTCCGTGTGATTTGACTCGTGGGATCCGTTCCCATCTCGAGCTAGCTGCATGGACTTAAATCTTTTGCCGAGTTTTGCCGCCACTCTCTGACCCAAAAGTTCAGTGACAGAGAGAGAGAGACACAGACACAGACACACGCAGAATCTCACTTTTCGTCCTTGACTCATCCATCTCCCATGTCATTGCTTGGCCATGACCCTGTACATGCCATTGTTCAGGTCCTGCACCGTCCCACGAACACTCGCCCAACTCCACGCCCACCTCGTCGTCTCGGGTCTCCACAGAGACCCACAGGCCTCCACCAAGCTCATAGAATCCTACGCCCAAATGGGTTCCCTCCAATCTTCCACCCACGTCTTCAAAACCTTTCCTAACCCAGATTCTTTCATGTGCGGCGTGCTCATGAAGTGCTTCGTGTGGAATCACTGCTTCCAAGAAGCGATTTTTCTCTATCACGAAATGTTGCACCGCGAAAACTGCATGAACAGGTTTATATTTCCTTCTGTTTTGAGAGCTTGTTCGGGGTTTGGTGATCTGGGTGTTGGCGGGAAGGTCCATGGGAGGATAATCAAATCTGGGTTTGACTCCGATGCGGTGGTCGAGACCTCGTTGCTTGGTTTGTATGGAGAACTGGGTAGCTTAGGTGATGCCCGGAAGGTGTTTGACGCAATGCCGGTGAGGGATGTGGTGTCGTGGAGTTCGATTATTTCGTGCTCCGTGGAGAATGGGGAAGCAAGTGAAGGGTTGGATATGTTCCGTTGGATGGTTTTTGAAGGTGTTGAACTGGATTCGGTTACAATGCTTTGTGTGGCTGAGGCTTGTGGGGAGTTGGCATTGTTGAGAGAAGCAAGGTCAGTACATGGCCATGTTGTTAGAAGGGGAATTAAGACTGATGGGTCTTTGGATAATTCTCTCATTTCAATGTACAGTAAATGTGGTGACTTGCAAAGTGCAAAAACGATCTTTCGTAGTGTTACTCATTGGGACACTGCATCTTGGACCGCAATGATATCCTGCTACAATCAAACTGGTTCTTTTTTGGAAGCGCTGGACGCTTTTGTTGAGATGCAAGAGTCTAAGGTGGAACCGAATTCGGTAACCTTGATGTGTGTTCTGCGGTCCTGTATTAGGTTAGGCTTGCACAGAGAAGGGAGTTCTGTTCATTGCTTTGCTATTAGGAATGGTGTAGACCCTGACCTTGATTTTTTAGGATCTGCGTTGTTCGAATTGTACTCTAAAATTGGGGGACTAAGCTATTGCCAGAAAGTTATTAATACAATTGGAGGGAGAAATGTTGTTTCATGGAACACAATCATTTCAGGCCATTGTCAGAAAGGTTTGTTGAGAGAAGCATTGGTACTCTTTGTGCAGATGCAGACCCATGGACTAATGCCAGATTCATTCAGCATGTCAAGTGCTCTCTCGGCGTGTGGAAAGGTCGGGTCTTTAGAGCTTGGACATCAGATACATGGTCATATAATCAAAAGAGGCTATTTGGATGAATTTGTGTTGAATTCACTGATTGACATGTACTCAAAATGTGGGTTTGTAGATTCAGCATACATGATATTCGACAAGATTAAACACCTTGGTCTCGTAACATGGAATGCTATGATTTCCGGATTTTCTCAAAATGGTAACCCTGTCATGGCGATCAGTCTTTTTGATGAAATGTACTTGAACTGTCATGAGATCAATGAAGTCACTATATTAAGTATTATCCAAGCTTGTTCTGAATTAGGTTATCTGGAAAAGGGGAAATGGGTTCACCACAAGCTCATAACCTTGGGCATCAGGAAAGATTTGTTTACTGATACAGCTCTAACTGACATGTATGCCAAGTGTGGTGACCTGCGGTCAGCTCAGGGAGTCTTCGATATGATGGAAGAAAGAAGCGTTGTGTCATGGAGTGTCATGATTGCTGGGTATGGTATGCATGGCCGGATTAATGCTGCCACATCACTCTTTGATCATATGGTGGAAACAGGAGTGCAACCAAATGAGATCATTTTCATGAATATTCTTTCAGCTTGCAGTCACGCAGGAGCTGTCGAAAAGGGAAGGTTCTATTTCAGATCAATGAGGGATTTCGGCGTTGAGCCCACTGCTGAACATTTTGCTTGTATAGTTGACCTTCTAAGTCGAGCTGGTGATCTCAACGGAGCATATGAGATTATCAAATCAATGCCAACCCCTGTAGATGCCAGCATATGGGGCGCTTTGCTTAATGGATGTCGAATCCACCAGAGGATGGACATGATCGAAAGCATTAAAAGAGACGTTTTAGATATCAGCACAGATGACACTGGATACTATACCTTATTTTCTAACATATACGCTGAAGGGGGGAACTGGGATGAATTTGGAAATGTGAGACTAATGATGAAAGGTATCGGTCTAAGGAAGGTCCCCGGATACAGTATAATTGAGCTTGATAAGCAAGTTCACAGATTTGGAGCTGGAGATACCCCTCTTCCCCAAATGAAGGAGGTTTACAGTTTCTTGGAAAAATTTCAGTCTCTCGCTCGTGAATAAGGGATAACGTAGAATTTGATATGTTGAATCCTGACACTGTTAGAATTATATACAAGTAGGAGTGTGAAGCCGGCAGATCATTCAGAATTGGCACTTGAATTTCTAAGGAACGCCTGCCTTGTGCGTGCTACTCGTTCTTGAAGTGTGTCTAAAGACTAAAATCACAGGCAGGTAAGAGATTTGAGTTTGTTCATTGTATTTTTGGAGCTCAACACCCAAAGGGTTGTAATTTTACTAATTTATTCTGTCAAATGACAATAATAGTAACACAAACATTCGATTAATTTTGAATTTTCCCATTATTTCTTTCATTTCTGGTGCACCACTATTCACATCCAAGTACAAACCTGTTCACTCAACCCGCATGCCGCCTTGAACATTGTGCCTTTCAAGTCTTGCATCAACGATCGTCATGGATGATCTGTTAATCGAATGCTGTTAAGTCATCCAGGATAGCCGTACAGAATGCCATGTTTCTTCATTAGCTTTTGAAGAAGCATGCCCGAGAACGTTACCTTCAGACCAACAGTATGCTGAAGTTGCAGAAAGTGCCTTACTCTTGGGGCTTCAAATTTTGCATCCATTCATCCAGACCTTGGATGCAGTTCCTGTGCAAGAACCGGTAATCAACAGGGCACCCCTGCAATTTGACGCCTGGCATTGCTACATCTCCTCACTCGAAAATCGACTCTTTATATCCTAAGCAACACATGCCAACCTAACAGGTGCAATGTGATTTCTGATATCCATCTCTACTTGGCTATATGCAAGGGACTTGCTCAATCCTCTCTGCTTCATTAGCTCTCTAACCTGATTAACCTGGCTCCATCGACCATCTGAAGCATAAAGGTTACACATTAGCACATAATAGCAAGCTTCACCAGGATGCAGCTCTAGCATTCTTCTTATCGCCACTCCGCCAAGATCAAACCTCGAATAGAGTCCGCATCCGTGGAGAAAAGCCCCAAACAAACTAACATCTGGCTGAATCGGCATTCTCTCAATGAATTCCAGGGCCTCTTCAAGTTTACCAGCACGAGCCAATAGATCGACCATACACGCGTAATGCTTCATTGAGGGCTTGAAGTTATAGTCCTTGCAGAGTGAATTGAAATACCTCCACCCTTCTGCAATCATTCCCGTATGGCTACAAGCTGACAATAAGGTCGTGAAGATTACTTCGTTGGGCTCCAGATGATTCTTCAACATATCACTGAAAAGTGCAACGGAACCTGTACTGTCACCCTGAATTCCATAACCGCCAATCATTGCACTCCATGTTATAGTGTTCTTCTCTCCCATTGCATCAAAAACTAGACGAGCAGATTCAGCATCCCCGCACTTGGCGTAGAAGTTTAAAAGTGCAGTGCCAACATAGATATTTGCAGTTAATAGGCCATCCTTTATGGAGTGAGCATGAAGCGATGAACCAACTGGAAGAAAACCAAGGGAAGCGCAAGCTGAGAGGACACTTGCCAATGCGAACGCATCATGTGAGAATGATTCTGATCTCATTTGATGAAACAGTTGGAGGGCTTCATGTGCAGACCCGTTTTGGGAATACCCGGAAATAATTGAATTCCAAGCAATCACATTCTTGTCGGAGATTGTTTCAAAGATATAACGAGCATCACCAATCATATGGCATTTTGCATACATGTCCACCAGAGCATTTCTCACAGTAGGCTCCTCCAACCCAAGTTTTATCCCAAGACCATGGATTGACCTTCCCAAATTCAAATTATCTGACTGTGCACAAGACGAAAGCACACTTGCAGTAGTTATAGAATTGGGCAAGAGACCAACCCATTTCCTATCCGTAAACAACTCCAAAGCCTCGTCGGGATACCCACATTGAGTGTACCCTACAATCATTGCTGTCCATGAAACAAGATCGGTCCTCCCACAAAACTCATCAAATATGGAACGAGCATCTCCAATGTCCCCCCACTTGACATACAAGTCCAGAAGGGATGTCACCAGAAAAGAGTTAAGTTCAATACCATTCTTAATCAAATGTCCATGAATCCACTTTCCTTGATGCAAAGATCTTAACTTTGTACACGCCGTAAGTACGCTTCCTAACGTGAACTGATTCCCTTCAACCAACCCCTCTCTCATCCTATTAAACAAGACCAGCCCATCTTCCGGACAATCATTTTGCACATACCCAACTATCATTGAAGTCCAACAAACCACATTTCTATCAACAATCCCTTCAAAAACCGCCCGAGAACACTCAATCCATCCACACTTCGCATACAAATCCACCAAACCCGTCAATACGAAACTATCAGGACTCGCCACCTTAACAATCCGGCAGTGCACCTTCCTCCCTTCATCAAAATCTCGCAACTCACTACACGCCTTCAACACAATCGAGAAAACAACGTTGTCATGCTCTCTTACGCACACTCTCATACGATTATAAAACCCTATAACCTCTTCATACAAATTGTGCATAAAGTACCACCTCAGCATCACTTTCCACGAATAAAAATCTGGGCTTGGCATTTTATCGAACAGATACCGGGCACACTTGACGTACCCAAATGACCCATATAAACTGATCAATTTTGTTCGGCAAAGGAGACCGTCGGCGAGGCCGTGGAGGACGAGCAAGCTGTGGACTTTCTTCAGGGAATCGATGTTCCTGCACAAAACGAGAAGATTAAAACACGGGTTCGAAAACACCGCGTGCGTCGACGCTATGGTTTGAGAAAGGTCGGGTGGCTCCGACGGTGGTGATTGGTAGATGGCATGCGTCAGAGTCCGACCCTGACGTAAGGGCGTTTTGGGTATTTGCAGATGTAAGGGGGAGACGAATTTCTTCACCGCCGTCCGCATCAAATTTCCTTTTGTTTTAATTTTGTCGGAAAATTTTTCAGTTTTTGAAAAGCTGTTGATTTTATGGCGGTTTTGAGTTACATTATGGGCCTTGAGATATTGGTCGGCCCAAATATTATGGGCCAGTTCTGAAGCTTAAGGTCTGTTTTATTTTTGTTATTTTTATTTTTTGGTTAAAAAACAAGGAAAGGGATCCGGAGAGGATCCTTTCCACATAGTCCGGGATTCGGATCATTGAAATTTGATCTAACGGCTACAAACAGAGAGCCCTTTGAAAAGTGATAATAATTGTAACCGTTGGATCAAATTTCAACAGTCCGGATCCGGAATTAAGTGGATTAGGTGGAAAGGGATCCGGAGATGATCCCCTTCCAAAAAACAAAGCAAGAATAGGACATCTATTCTTTAATTTCAATCAAAATCCTGGGTTGGATTTTAGGAAGTCATGCATGCGTTGCATAGTGTGTGTGTGTCTCTCTCTCTCCTTACATATGCATGAATATGTATATGTGTTTAGATAGAGAGAGGGTCTGCTTCAAGTCGTGCGTTTGCTTCTCTTGCATTGTTTGGTGATAAGAGAACTTTTCTATTCACGAATAATAAGTTTTTTCAAATACAACTATATATTTACATTAAAGAGCGGGAGAGTAAATTGGTTTAAACTCGCCATCAACAAGATTCAAACATAAAATTTCTCATTTACCAGTAAAAAAGAATATAACTTTTTACTATCAATTAATGTCAATCTTCTATTCGTTGTGAATAAATATATTAAATATCAAAATATTTGATTAATGTCATAATCTCCCACCGAATAGGTTGCGTAAGATCAATTAAGCCAAAAACACGCGACAAGTCTGGTATTTATTTAATTTATTTTATAAATAATGTGATCGTACAGCACTACGAAAGTTTTGATCAACTTTTTTACTAATAAAAGGAAGAAGATATGAGAAGGTGGAGGTTAGGTAAAGTAATAGGTTGGCAGAGATTGCGTCGACCACGGCAAATTCCAATTAGAGCTTGTTGGTTGGTCCTCTTTTGTCCTTCATTTTTCATGCTTTTGGGTCCATAATATTTTAATTTGTTAATCTTAGCTTTGTCAATGCAAATTGGAAATTAAAGGAAGCTTATTGGTGGGACATGTTTGGCCAAAACCTTCACTAATTTCTGCAAAAAGTTAGACAATGAACTAAAATCGCTTTCCTGGTTCGCAAACAAACAAGGCACATCATGTGGCTACGTGTAAACTTGGTCTCTTGTTTTACGTGCTCATGTGGCAACAACATAACCAAAACGAATCAAATATCAAATTTCCGTTCCCACTAACATTACAGTTTTGTAGTATTCTTCTTTACTCTCGTAAGCGATAAGTTTTAAGTTCAACTTTCATGAAAAGCGAATTTGATGCTAAAGATTATTGTTGGCTCGTTGTGTGACTTTGTTCAAACCTCATCCATTTATATCGTTGTATAAAGAAAAAAAAGAACTTGGGGTCAATCTAGGAAACATATTGTAGACCTGAGTGTAGCTGTGTTCCCGCCTCTGCACCCTACTTCGAATCTCCTTCGAACTTCGAAGTGTGGATCGGTTGAATAAACATAAATCAGAAGAAGAATATTTACATCTGAAATAAATGATAAAATCACATCTAAATTCCCAGAAGAGAAGCAATGTATGAGCAAATAAAAGAGAGGAGTGGTATCTATCCGGGAATAAATTTATGCAACATTATTTATGAAAAATACAAAGATGGTACCACCCAAAGACAGAAAAATCAAACCAACCCAAACTTTGGGCTAAGAAATGTACAGAGGGCAGTCAATCCCCATGGCAACCTCAAACCCCTGCAGCCACAGAAACCACCACCCTAATTTTTCTCTATGGAAACTCAATCAATAAGTTAAGACCTTCTTCCCATTGTTTAGGTTAAAGGAACGGATGATGGGAGATTATTACCTGCCGCGCATCTTTGCCTACGAGGCCTTCTGGTCGTCTTACCCCAACCGGTTAGGCTTCTATCTTCCAGTCCCATTTCTGTATTATTAAGCTGCTGTACCAGTGGACTGCAAGCTGGGATAGTTTCCACAGGGGGAGAGGGATTCACCACTGCTCGTCGCCTGCCCCTACCACAACCGTTTCTTGTTGAGTTTCTCCTGGTTAGTCCCGTCTGCCATGAATGGCCCATTGCCCGCATTAATCCTCCAAATGTCTGGAGATCTTCTGTCACCTCGTGCCTTGACAAGGAAGCAAGACCGGGAAGGATATCCCTTTGGAAGTCCCTCCGCTGCCTCCCTCTCCTTGACTGGCCTCTTCTGGGAGGATTTGGTAGTAATGTGTTTCCGGTTTCTTCCAGGTTCAAGTTTTCTGGAACCAGAGGCTTAGGCATGTAATCTTCTTCCTTGGTCTCTCTCAGTTTCAAAGTCACAAATTCAAAGTAATCAAATGCGTCTGATAAAGATTCATCATCATCATCACCATCTTTGCCTCTCACAACGATGTCAAACTTGCTCTCAAGATCATTCCCACAAGTGGAAGCTATCTCCACAAACCACAGAAGGGGATCGATTGAAGAAGCTTCCGGTGGACTGCAAGAGGATTCATCAGTATGATTGTAGGGACCAGATGATGAGATGGCAACTATTGCCTCCGCTGCTACTCTCACAAGTTCCCCTTGAGGAGGTTCAGCTGGCTGTTGTGGCGATGCTAAAGGCATTGCTTTCTGCTTTTCAGCAGATGCTTCCACAAGAATGACACCATCATCAGCCCCGGGTACAATTGGGGCTTCCAAATCTATGTGTACTGTGATCTTCACACTGGTGGTTGGAGCAGAAGGTTTCAAAGATTCTTCATCATCACTGACACACGAGTTCAAATCGATGACATGTCTGAAACTTGCAACCTTCGTATCTATTCTCTCTTCTACAACTACAATTTCTTCTACATTCTTTGTGGCCAAGTCAGGAGCTGAAGGATCGCAAGGCAAGTTGATATCCAGTCCTCCGTTTCTCTTGTTATTTTCCACAGACGGGGAGGTAACAGAATAAGACTCGTTCTTAGTGTTATGGGACTGAACAAAAATAGGAAACCCAAGAAGTTTTCTCTTGCACGGGCTGTCACCTAGTTCAGTCCTTCTGGCCTCAACATCATTCTCGCAAGGAACTGATTTTATGTCCTCAGCAAAAATTTGATTTAAATCCTGCATATCAGTCTTTGAAACTCTGCCTACATTGGCAAATTCATTCTTAGAAGCAGGCTTGGCTCTTAGCCACGGCAAAGCTGCAAGATGGTCCTCATGCTTTTGTTCCCCCCCTACGATCCTAAGACGTTGCTGGGGCATTTCTTCATCCGATGAGCTTTTTGAAAGCACTACATTTAAGTTTACTTCCTTTGCAAACTTCACATCCTTGCAATTTGAACCCTTGTAGTGTGTCGCTGAACCCTGACTCCTTAACTGCTCAGGGCCTCCGTTGTGATCATTACTGCTGCTCTGATAGTCGCAGCTGAGAGATGAGAAGCGAACTAGTTCCTTAGACCCTGAAGATGAACCATGGTGAAAACCATTTTGGTATGGTACTTCACTTCCAGAACCATGGTTAGAACTAGAATTGCTGTTAAGATACCACCTATCTCCAAAGATCCCATTGCTCTGAACTGATGACTGGGAACTCTTGCTCAAGGTAGCAGATGAAGGAAAACACGGGTGAGTTAGAGCTGATATTGGCTTTTGGCTTACGCCACTGCCTGGCTTTTCCCAAGATGAAACCGAGTGAGTCCATGACCTGGTCACATCCGAGGAAGGAAGAATGTGATGATATGGACTGGGCATATGAGAAGTCACAAAAATATTCTGATGCTTATTATTGGAAATTTCATGACTTCTATCCGAATTCTCCGCACCACAAACTGTCCTCTCTCTCCACAAGTCCACCTTGCTTTTATCAGTCAGATAGAAAGCGGTTTCGTGAACATTGTTAATAGAAACTTGCATTGGATGGGACGATATCGGCAACCTTTCTGTTTGGAGACATTGGGAAACAGTTTTAAGGCTGCTTTTACTTTGCCCTGTAATACAATGAGAGCTGATATTAATTTTTATAATGGAAGAAATCTATAACAAGAAATTCTGCATTCTTAAAGCCTAGCCGAATGGCAACATAGCCCTTAACAGGTGCCTAAAGATTCACCAAATACGTGCATGGTCAATTGTGAAAGAATGAGATGATCCCACAGCTCTGAAGACTAATATAAGTTGTTTGATTAATCCTTTATTTCATCTTTTATATTTCTGTTAAACTTGTTTTTTTCTAATACATTCGTATTTATAATTTTGATTAAATTTCTTTCAAACAATCTAGAACCTACAATAACTGCACATACGAATACTAAAATAAAAGGAAATGCAGATGTCAAAAAGGACTAACTTAGAGTTTAATCAAATTTCATGTATACCTGCTTCAAGAACATGGGAAAACCACCCTTTTCCACTTTCGTTCTCCAAATATATCTTGTTCGGGATAACCTTATCACTGACATGATGAGGGTTGAGTGATATTTCCTTCGGCAAACCTAAAAGCTGCAACCTAGAATTAGCCGCCTGATCAGGACCCTGAATCTTTCCATGATAAGAGTCATGGCCCAGAGGATCAGCATATTCTGAAGCATTTGTTTCTTCAATTTGAATAGGCTCATTCAAGTCAGCCAAACCATTTGTGCTCCTCGAACATGTATCAGATCTTGAAACATGTCCTTTGCAATCTGTCTTCGCACCTTCGCAGAAAAAGAGCTTTGCACCACCCCCAAGTGTGGTTTTACAATTTTTATTCGGCTGACAAGTAGGAGTGCCAGAAGCTTTCTCATCAGTGAACTGCTCCCCTTCATCAGAATCAACGTACACATCAGCTGGAAGTTGAAGATCAAACATTTTTTTCCTCACTTTTGTGGGTCTTGACTCCATCACCTCAACAACTTTTGAACTAATCCCATTTTGGTATGGAAACAAACCAATTTTTTGGTTGTTTCCTTTCACGGCACTAGATGGAG